TACACTAAGTGGATAACGTTTTTTATTATGACCCGTTCAAATGCTTTTTTAAGGTCCACGAAACATAGATATGCTGGTTTGTTGTATTTCAATGATTTCTCTTGCACTTGCCTCATTATAAATATAGCGTCGGTGCATGATCTTCCCTACCTAAAACCTTGTTGTTCTTCTGCTAGTGTTATAATTTCATTCAGTTTATTTGTTATCACTTTGGTTGTTAATTTTAGTGTTGTGTTTAATAACTAAATCCCTCTCTAATTTTCCGGGTCCGATTTGTCTTCCATTTTAAAGAGAGGTATTAGTATTCTTGATCTCCATTCTTGGGGAATTCTGTTTTATTCTATTATTTTCTTGAATTAGTTTTAATAATTGTCTGGTCAGATTAGGCCATCCGTACTTTAGGAGTTTGTTCGGTATTGTGTCCTCTCCTTGTCATTTTCTATTTTTTAATTTCCTTAATGCCTCTAGTCACCTCTGGTATTGGTTCATTATCATCACCTTTAGCAAATAGAGATCGAAAGTAGTCTGCCTTTGTGTCCTTCTTTCATCTCTTTTGCTTTGCCAGCTTTGCCGGTGCTGTAGACGATGAAAAAGATCTTTTTCATCGTCGGTTTTACCTTGTAATTTATAGACGCCACAGATTTAAGCAAAAATCTGAAGTTTGGTTTCGTCCAGAATTTTTTTGGATTTTTACTTTGTGGTTTTATATTAATTAATATATAAACATCAATCACTTCAAATACTGTCTGGAAAATAAATTTATTATTTAGATGAGCACTCCAAGGTGATAATAAAAAAATGTGAGATCGTACAGATAGTACATTATATGGCTGTAATAGAAGACTTGTTTGATTGCCAAAAATGTTAAGTTATGTTTGAATCCGCTTAAATGACCTCATTTTAATGTCAAATCGCAGAAATATGAATAGAAAAAAAAATTAATAAGAATACTGATACTATTTTACTGACAATAACGGTAAAGTAAATCAGCTCCTTTATAAATTTTTAAATTTTATCAAAGATTTTTTTTTTTAGTTTACGATCAATAGTAACTAAAAGGGAAGTTAATAAAAATTTGGAGATTTATATCTAGTTTAAACGTTTTATATCATGTTACATAAAATACTTACAGAAAAATAAAAAAAAACTATGTTTTGGAAAATGTATGTACATTATATAAAATATAAGCAATACAATATGCCACCAATAGTAGGATTGGATGGTTTGGCCTGTATAGTGGCTCTATAGGGATGATTTCTAGATAGACTAGGCGGCATCTGTAGAAATTCAGACCATAATGGAAATTTTCGAGGGAAGCTATTTTTTTGCTGGAATCCCTTCAGGATATGCCCAGTATCGATAATCACGATATGCGCCAGTCGCAAACCCTGTGCTAAATTTTTTATTTAACAAAATCTGAAAACAATTGAAAATTTCTCATTTTTTTGCTCCTATTTTCATTATAATTCGAAAAATATTGATCTTAGAGAAAAAATTATAAGTAGTTAAAAGTTTCGTTATTAAATTTTACACAATATTTTGTTAGCTAGAAATTGAAAAATTTAATGGTTATTGTTGAAAAAATAGCAATAATTGGAAAAAAAGTACAAAAAAATGAAGTTAATCCTTTAAATGTTTTCGACTTTCTAAACTTGACTTGCAAGTTCCATATTCCGCCTAGAAAAACTTTTTAATATGTTTAAAAACGTGTGCTAAATTTTCTTAAGATCGGTCGGATAGGTTTTGCATAATAATTTTGCAATCCAGCCTACTGGAAAAAAATCGCAAATTTTCAAATCTATAGTAGGCCCTAAATAAGGCCCTCAGATTGTTGCAATTTTTTTTACATATAAAGAAAGTCTTACACTTTCAAACGCTTTTTGCAAAATTCAAATCGGTTTACTAGGAAAGCCTATAAATTTTTTTAAAGTTATAAACATTTTTTAGGCTTATAAACAAATTAAATAACTTTACGAGCTTTAAACGTATCAATTTCAAAATATATACACTTAAAGAACATTAAAAGACGCTTCTTGTAAAAAACAAAAAGATACATTCGGCCTACTGGTTGCCGAGATATTGAAGGTCAAAGTTGGCATACATTTGCCGTGTAACCATAAGTGATAGAGGGCTCGTTTTAAACAAATACCCTCGTCTTGTCAAATACTTTTTATATGAAAAGTTTTACGTAATGCGCTTTATGGCAATATCCATAAAAAAGACAAATAAAAAAACGTTTTCGCGTAATATGTCGCTCGGAATGCATGAGAGGTGGTGATGAGGGACATTCACTTCAAATGTGAATCGGCGAGTATCAAGTATATATTAGCCTCAGATAACAAGCCAGTTTTTATAATTGCAGAGGATATTAATGTTCTGGTAATATTTTTACAAAAAGTAACTGAAAATAAAAATATTTTTTTCTGGAAACCTAGCAAAGGAAAAAAATCGGAAGAATTTTATTACTACAACTCTTTCAATAATGCACTTAAAATAAGTGAATCTACGAATCTTTGTTAAAAAATTTAGTGGGCTTTTTACACGCATTTTCTGGTTGTGATACAACCTCTGCATTTTTTTATCAAGGAAAAAGCAAAATTGTTAAATTGGTTTCAACAAATAATTATATATGGCAAGAAGCAACCATTTTTAATGAAAAAAGTGCAACTAAGGAAGAAATTAAACGCAGCGGATGCAAAATTATATCGGCATTGTATATGGGCCACTCAAAGTACGATTTTACATTGAATAAAATTCGCTACTTGTGCTTTAAAAAAGGTTGCAAAAATAAAATTTTTCAATTGTTCATGCTGCCACCTACACAATCTGCAGCTGAGCAATACTCGCTTCGTGTATATTTCCAAGTACAGCAGTGGCTTGGAAATAATCTGAATGCTACTGGATGGGGGTGGGAACTAACTCAAAATGGTCTTGAGCCAATACAAACTGAGCAAGTATTACTACCTGACTCATTATTCAGAAATATTAGTTGCAAATGTAAAAAACTTTGTACAAAAACATGCAGTTGTATCAAACATGGTCTCAAATGTTCTGACTATTGTCTTCACTGCAATGGTCAAACATGTAAAAATATTGATCACAATAAAATATTGGAAGAAGTTGAACGAGATATGGATATGGAGTCGATGGATTCCTTAGATTTTTTGGAGGCACAAGATATAGCTACAGATGAAGGAGAAGAAACATTAAATTTACAGATCGAGGATGAAGATTGAAATGGAAAATGAAGGTTTTGAGGAAGAAATAAAACCTGAAGATTCTTGTCCTCCCAGAAAAGAAAAAGACTTAAAAAAAATTATTGAAGATTGAGTCAAAATAAAGATTATTTATGAAAAGAAAATTTTTGTTTCATTCGCCTTTGTTTTAACAATTTAAATTATTTATTAACAATTTATAAATACATATTTGTTTACTAAAAGTAACAATTTACTTCAATGTATAAATTGCAAGCTCAAAAACAAAAAACAATTTCGAGCATTACACAGCAGTATAATAACACGTCAATATACAATATACACGTCACTTTCGAATCAAAATATATTCTCAAATCAAATAATGTCATTATTATAATAAAACTGCAGAAATAAATTATTTTTAATGTTAATTATTTTAAAATGTTTGATTTTTACAAAAAAAAAATTTCCTTCGTTTTAACAATTCAAATTATTTATTAACAATTTATAAATACATATTTGTTTACTAAAAGTAACAATTTACTTTACAAGCCCTTACAGATTTTGGAGCACTTTACTTTTGTTTATATTTCAAAACCCGAAATTAAACAAAGTGATGGTCCCCTACTTGATACTCGCTGATTCACATTTGAAGTGAATGTCCCTCACCACCACCTATCATGGATTCCGAGCGACATTTTACGCGAAAACGGTGTTTTTATTTGTCTTTTTTATGGATGTTGCCATGAAGCGCATTACGTAAAACTTTTCATATAAAAAGTATTTGGCAAGACGAGGGTATTTGTTTAAAAACGAGCCTCTATCACTTATGGTTACACGGCAAATGTATGCCAACTTTGACCTTCAATATCTCGGCAACCAGTAAGCCGAATGTATCTTTTTGTTTCTTAAAAGAAGCGTCTTTTAATGTTCTTTAAGTGTATACATTTTGAAATTGATATGTTTAAAGCTCGTAAAGTTATTTAATTTGTTTATAAGCCTAAAAAATGTTTATAATTTAAAAAAATTTATAGGCTTTCCTAGTAAACCGATTTGAATTTTACAAAAAGCATTTGAAAGTGTGAGACTTCCTTTATATGTAAAAAAAATTGCAACTATCTGAAGGCCTTATTTAGGGCCTACTATGAATTTGAAAATTTGCGATTTTTTTCCAGTAGGCTGGATTGCAAAATTATTATGCAAAACCTATCCGACCGATCTTAAGAAAATTTAGCACACGTTTTAAACATATTAAAAAGTTTTTCTAGGCGGAATATGGAACTTGTAAGTCAAGTTTAGAAAGTCGAAAACATTTAAAGGATTAACTTCATTTTTTTGTACTTTTTTTCCAATTATTGCTATTTTTTCAACAATAACCATTAAATTTTCAATTTCTAGCTAACAAAATATTGTGTAAAATTTAATAACGAAACTTTTAACTGCTTATAATTTTTTTTCTAAGATCAATATTTTTTGAATTATAAATGAAAATAGGAGCAAAAAAATGAGAAATTTTCAATTGTTTTCAGATTTTGTTAAATAAAAAATTTAGCACAGGGTTTGCGACTGGCGCATATCGTGATTATCGATACTGGGCATATCCTGAAGGGATTCCAGCAAAAAATAGCTTCCCTCGAACATTTCCAATCCAAAACAGATCCCGCCTAGACTAAGACGTTTGTTAGGTAAAGGAGTGAGTATGTTCATTTATGTTTTTTTATGTTTTGGAATTTAATTTTTACATAACAAATTATTTTGTATTATAATTTTTAGGGTTTGATGTGGTTTTATAGGGTTTGGTTGGGAATGAGTTTTTTTTTTGTAAGAGTTTTAGGTAAGTAGATAAGTAATGTCTGAGAGTAGATGTAGGGAGGTTTTTTGCGTACTCTTATTTTGTCCTTTGCTTTTCCCCATACATAGATTATAACAAATACTTTATTTTAAAAGCAAAATTAACGAGATTTGACACATTAACTATACTATTGTTTTTTACACTTCTTTTGAATCTGTTATATGATTCGTAATTAAGGCAGATTAGACTAATAGTCTTTATAAAGAAGCTTTTTAGGAAATATTTTGTGGTATATCAAAAAGCCGCATAGTGAAATATAACCAAAATGAGAAAAGAAACTTAGTTCAGCTTACTTGAAAAATATTCCAAGCCAAAGATACACAAAACAAAGAAAGGTATTTCTCGTACAACCTTCTGCTTGTTGCGTTAAATATTCTTAGAACTTCAAAAAACTTAATTCAGAGCTACTAGTTACTACTCACTCATATATCGTCTCTCTAAAATGGACAAGGTAGACAGAACAATATGAAAATTCTGCCAAAATTTAGAGGAAGCAACCGAATATACTACAGGCCAATTGTTTGCCATCACCATAAATATCGGGAACAGGTCTTTTTAGAAAATGATCAGATCACAACCTTGTCTATAAAACGAACTTTTTTAGAAGCCTATATCTTTTTGGAGAAAGTAGATGTAGAGTACCCACAAAAGATCTTTCATGTCACAGTGTTAAAAGGTCCAATAGGCTCCAAGGTCCTTTTTTTATTAATTGAAAACGAATACTATTACTGTCACTGCAAACCTACAAGAAACTTCTGATTTATTTCATTTCATGTCTATATTATTTACAGAAAAGAATCTTTTAATAAAGTATCTTTTAATAAGCATATTACAGAGTTTGGCAATATTTTTGTAAATCTATTTTTTTTTACCATGTCTTATCCTTTAAGTATATTATTTGATTTAGATTTTCATTTTCGATTTTTGGTTAACATCTTATTTCCTTTTAAATCTTTCTTACATTTTTCAAAGATTTACCTAAAACTAAAATTAAATATTTGTTTTTTAGTTAGCGCACTTGAATGCTACTCTTGCTCTGAGGATGTCTGCAAAAAAGATATGAAAGATTGGCAAAAAACTACCTGCGGTAAACCTGCGGACCAAAATCAAGAATCCGTTTGCCAAAAAACAACATATAAAGGTAAGTCTAGTTGTTATAAAAATAGAGACTTATTATATTTTAGATTTGAGATATATAATAGGTTAGTTTGTAATTGTTACATAGTCACACTTTTAAATTTTTACTTGTTAGATCACAAGTCTTTAATTATAAAATTGTTTTAACCGTGATGGTTAATTTTTATGTTTATTTGGTATATGTTTGAAAAGTGTAATTTCCTCTATGACGTCGAAATTTTTCACAGAACAGGAAATAATATAAAAGAATAGGTGAAAGCTTACGTTTTGACAATAACTAAGTAGAAAATATTGTTACTAAATTAAAGATAAACGTTAAATTAATACTACTTTATTAGTTCTTTGTAATAACGTCTTTTGGCTTCAACAAACCTTGTTTGCGAACTTTTTTTCTTGTACGACACGTGCGAAAGATTCCTGTGGAGTATTCAGCAGTAGTCACCCATAATAGTTAAAGCTTACTTTGTATCTTTACTCCAAGTTTTTTTATGTCTTGGTGAAATTGTTGACTCTATTCTTTACTTACGGCGTCGACATTTTCAAGATAGTAATCAAGAAAAGGTTTAATATGCATTTTCTGGTTAAGTTAAGTAAGATAGTGGGGCTCAAATCAAATTACACGAACGTTTTCGGAATAATAATTCCATCATCAGGTTTAAAAATGCAAGTTAACATGCATGAGCCACCTGAGATATAAATCAAAATATCAGGGTAAAAACCCTTTAAATTACATACGGCTACAAAAGATTGTACATAATGTTGTTATACATATTTGATGTTAAATATTAAATTAAATTTAACTTTGGGTAACATACACCTATGGTTTAACTGGAACCCATGGACACTGGAACTCACTTAAACCATGGGTGTATGTTACCTAAAGTTAAATTTAATTTAATATTTAACATCAAATATTTATAACAACATTATGTACAATCTTTTGTACCCGTATGTAATTTAAAGGGTTTTTATCCTGATATTTTGGTGGCTAAGGCATGTTAACTTGCATTTTTAAACCTGATGATGGAATTATTATTCCGAAAACGTTCGTGTAATTTGATGTACCCCTTTTAAGGGTTTTTTTAAATATACCCATTTACGAAGATCTAACCTCTTTTTTTATGGATACATCTATTATTCAGGAAAAACCGACCCAGAGCACCCCTCTAAATGATAGAGTAGCATTGTTGAAATTAAGAACAACTATGCTCCAACAAGATCAGAGGAAGAAAGTGAAAAGTTCTATAATAACATAGATGAAATAATAAGACTGACAAGAAGAGGCGAGATAACGATGTTCATGAGTGATTTTAACGCTAAAATTGGTCGTGGTGGTTAAGGAGACAACATAGGAGCTTACGGTCTCGGTACCAGGAATAATAGGGGAGATAGACTTGTACAATTCTGCGTAGGAAACAATCTGTTAATAGCCAAAAAATATTTAAATAACATTCTAGAAGGCTAGATACACTTGGAAATCACCTGCTGGCATAGGATATAATTGTAACGAATCAAATTGACTTTATTTGGCTTCATAAAAACTTTAAGAAATACATAAATCCACTAAAAAATACTCTGTAGCTTACATTCATAGCGATCACAATCCAGTTATAATGGATTTTAGACTAAAACGATTTCTGAAAGTTAAAGGGAAAAGGGACAAGAAAAATAGACATCTCACAACTGAAAACCTTGAAAGGAAAAATAAAATAAGTATCAAGGAAAGTATCAAAGTTGAGAAAAAAAAAATAGAAACGCTAGAGAATTTGGTACAGGCAGACGTTTGAAGTAGCGTGAACCCAAAACCTAACATATCAATAAAATCATTGAAAAAAGTGCTGAGAAGCTAAAGAAAACTCGATGTCAACAAAATGCCTATATATTGACAAACTTTAATATTACATCTTTAAGGAGCACAAACAGTAAAGAAAATAATTGATATGAGGTTGAATGCCCGAATAAATGAACTTTGAAAATTAAGGCAATTATCAAGCACAAATTTAATCAAATCTTGCTCAAGTACTTTCGCTTAATATAGCATCTTCAGAGGCATCTGAAATAAACCAAAAAACGTTTTTTAGATGAAGGAAATTAATTAACTCCGATAAAAACTCGAAGTTAATGGATGATAAAGGTTTTTTGTGATTAACGTTTTAGACTTACTTCGTCAAATATGAGCTATCCAGCAAGCTTAGAATGTGATCACCATGAATGTTAACATAAAATTGTACAAAACACTACACTAAAACAAGGACAAACAGTTTAAAATTAACTAAAATGGTTCTACGCTCTACATTCTTTGTCAGTAGCAGGAGAGAGAATGGTACTAAACGGAAATGCTAAGATGACATGTGACATATGACAGCTTTGATGGGCAGTTTTTTTTATTCTTTTAGTTTTGCCCATTTTGTAACATCCTTTCATTTTCTACTTTTTTTTATAAGTTCCATGATAGTCTTTACAGTTATGTTAAAGTATTCTTTATTACTTATGGCTTTCTTTATTGTGTTTGCTGGTGTGATCGTTTCTATTTTTTACCAGTTTTTTCCTTTCCTAGCTGAATTGACTGCATGAACCAACGCCATTTTCTACGTCATCCTCTACACGGCACATTTTGCATCGTTCGTTGAAATTCTCTTTTTAATTTTATGTAGGTACTTAAGAGCTCATGCTCTGTAAAAACTATATGAAATAAAAGTTGGTATGTATAAATTTGCAGTTGATCCAGAGCTCTATGTTAAGGATGAGACATCCACTGCCTCTGTCACTGTCTCACACTATTTTTCTGCCTACCTCCCTGATCTTCTTTATAACTCCTTTTCTAATTGTACATAGTCGCCCTCTCCTTTAACATTAAATGGATTGGTACAACTCCTGCTATCACTTGTATAGCAATTGTTGTGATTATCCTATATGTGCCTACCACAGTTAGTAGCGTTTTCCTTTGCACCTTTAACATCGTATCCAATATCCATGTACTTATTTTTTTTAATAATTCGTCCCAGACTGAGACCGCATATAGAACAGTATAGTGTACTATTTCTAAATAAATCTTCCTTTTGTATGAACTAGGACCTATATTTATCATTATCTTTGCTGAAGCCACAGTCTTCTCCTCGGCTCTCTTGACAACCTTCTCTCCTTCTATATGCTCTCTTAGCTGCTAACGCCAATTAATTTTTTACTCTTATGGATACTCTATGAGCCTTGTTTTTTTTTTCTATGAACTCGGATTTGTATTATCCTTTATGGAGATAGCTAGATCATCTGCAAAAGCGAATGTTTTTATAGCCCAAACTCCACTACCCAATTGTACATGGTATTCCACAGTATAGGTCTCAACACCGATCCCTGAGGAGCTCCCGACGTTGTGTCCAACTATTTTTTACTAGTTACTTTTATTTCTCTCTTAGATAGATAGTCACACGTAACGTTTTATCTCCACTTTGACCTATCCGGCTTTAATAATATTACCAGGTTGGCTAATTTTACTTAGTTAATGTGGAAATTTTTGTCATAAACACTTCTGATTTATGTGTGATTAATATTTGTATTAACTCCGGTAGTATCCTATCTGGACCCGGTGCCTTTTTGGCTTTTAAAGCTTCTTTCACCTCTCTTAATTCATTCATTGTGAAATTTATTGGTGTCTCTGCTAACATGGTGTATTTTAGTTACACTTTATTCTAAGAAGGAAACAGGTTTATTGCCACCTCCCGTCTTCTATTTCTCTCCAAACTATAAAGCATTTCCGAATTTCTATTTTTTCGAATATTTTGTAAGCGTCCTCCCAGACGTCTTGTTCTAGTGGTTCATCATTTTCTTTTGGTCTTTTTAATTTCCTTTCTTTAGATCTTTCTATTTTCTTTGTATTAATTGTTTGCTTCCTAACTTTGAAATTTTTGTGCTCTCCTTTTTTATGCATTTTTTGCTTAAGGTGTCTATTTTTTTGGTTCCACCAGTATGGCAGAGTATATTGTCTGTCCCTTTTATCAAAGTTACTTCTCCCCAGTACTAGTTTTAATGTATTTTACAACTTTCTTATTGTTTCTACATCTTCATGTAACTCTTCTATCCTTTTTTAAGCTTCCACATAGTGTGCTCCTCCTATAATTCTACACATTTTTCCTACAATATGCTGGTTCGGTATCATGATATCGATGTGGACTACGATTTACCTCTTGTAAATGTTTTTTTATTATTATTAAAGACCACCAAGTTCATTTGTGCGATCCACTTATTCCATAACTCTCCTTTCTTGTCGCTTCCTGGAGCTCCCCAAAGGATGAACTTGTCGTTTACATCTCCGTTATATCTCAAGAAGAGCATAAACTGAATATCGAAATCTCATCGAAATAAATATTTTTTCTATCTTAGTTTCAAGTTATTTGCAACTTTTTTGTTGAAAAACTGTCTTAATTGGTGATTTTTAGAAAACTTCTAAACGAAATGCAATTGCATAAAAAGTTTTTTAATCTTTAAACCTTCAAGTACAAGAAAGAATATTTTAAGAAGGATAAATGGATTCTATTTTGCTCAAAACAAAAACAACAAATATCGAATATGCATTTCGAGCAATATATCGCTATATGCGATAAAAAGCGCTTAGAAATCTTTATTTAAATTTAACACTATGTTTTTAGCAAAACCAGTTATCCTTGTTAAAATATTCTTACTTATACGTTAAGGTTTAAAGATTATAAAGCTTTTTGTAGAATTGTAATTCATTAAGTAGTTTTTAAAAAGAACTTCCCAAAAATCACTAATTAAGCCATTTTTCCACAAAAAATTGCAAATAAATCGAAAAGACAGCATGTTTCGAAAAATTCCCAGGAGTGAAAAAGTATTTACTTTGCTGACATACGTCTAAAAAAATGTACTCTAATTGATTTGGGAAATTATTTTTTGTTATTTGTTAATAAGAATTTCCGGTCCACTTGGAAAAATTAAAAAGAAAATACATTTGATCTTTAAAAAATATATAGAATCGAATAGAAAAGGTTTGGTGCGATAGAAATGCAAAACAAATTAGTCGGTATGTTCCGTTTCTAAACATCTTATTAGGGTAAACCGCTCGCCTATTATACATTTATCGCCTATAATTTCTTGCGGTGACGATTATACTCTGGAAACCTCCTTTATGTTCCTTCATCTTACTGTTTGGTGATACGTAGCAGGTTATTATGGTGTAATTTTTTAGTTCTAAGCTTATATGTCCTTCTTTTTTGCTAAAGTAGAGGATTTTAAGTCACCACTTAATCATTCACCTATAATTTAAATTCCTAGTAACGTCATAAAAATAATACATATAAATGTAATACATAAGATTTCAAATAAAAAAATACTTTTAAGTGGGGATTTTTTAGTGAGATAGGTATTTTTTTTCATATTTAGCCCATTCAAATATTTAAAAATCTTCTATTATTGCAAAAAAAAATTCATCCCACATCCGTATAACGTGTTCAATAATTTTTCAGATATGGGCGTGGGTTCTACCTTGAATATATGTTTATCGAGACTAGTTATTTGGCATGGCGAGTTTGACCTAATTCTTATATACTCTTTTATAGTCAAGCGGTAGTGTTGTCACATAAATTATGTTCTATCCTAGTTGTAGATATTTGCTTTTGGTCAAATAAATATCAAATGATACTTATTTATATTTTATTAATAATATTTGGTTTGAATTTGACAGGTTTGTCATGAGTAAACGGCGTATGCTTTGTTAATAGGTACATCAACAGGTGGTTTTAAGAGTAAACATAATAATTTATTGAATTTGCTTACAATATAAAAAATAAATAAATAATAAAATTACTTTCTTTAATTTTAAATATATTATTTAAATTTTCAAATTAGAGAAAACATAGTATGAAGCTTCGCGCTAGTGTAAATTAGATACCGCCAATTTTTCCACTTTTTTCCAATTTTTTTTAATATTAACAATAGTTGAAAGAAGACCTTTCATAAACAAAATTGTTATTTTACGAGGAAAGTTTTGATTGTTATATGAATGTACACCGTGTTTATTTATAATTAATATAACTGTATAAAATAATTAACGTGAGAACATAAAGCAGCAAACTTTATATTCCGATTTTGGCCACCGCCCTGATCGGAATACATTATGATTCTTCTTTTTATAACATAATTTTTGATAAAGTACATTATGCATGATCCTATTTCTTGAGGACCTCTTGAGGCTGTAGCTTCGTGCCACATGAACATGTATTTAAAGTATCTGTTCATGCTGTGGCTGTTTACTTATCTCTATCTATCTCTATCTCACTATCTGCTTTTCTCTGATGAAGTCCCACGATCCAGATTAAGTTGCCTTATTAATTCTGGGTGATTTGTTGGCTTCAGCTTCATTTTAAAAACCTCACATCTTTTACAAAAGTCAAACACAGGAGGATGGAATCGTAGATTAAACTCATTTGAAAAATGTTTTTAGAAACGAAGTTAAAAACGGGAGATTGATTTTGTTTCATGTATAATTTATACATTTTTGATACACACAAATCAGGTGCCAGGTATCGTCGCTTAGGATTCTTAATCCTTGAATAGTGTGATTGGTATACTGGAGAACAGTTAATAAATTGTTTACCTACATTAATAGTTAGTTGAATTGCGTTCTTTAAATTTTGCATACTTTATATTTATCACGATTTTCCGACGTTTATAAGTATAAACGCGTTTTCTCTCTCCTTGTGTTGTTTATAACGACGTTAATAAATATTTACAGTTGAAGATCAAATAACGATTAACTGTAGAAAGCACTGAAAACATTTCTTTGACGTTCTTCTATAATCTATGACATTTTGTGAATTGTTCTAGCAGCTATTATTGTACCTTTCGAATTAGTGTATTTTACTCCTTCTGCTTCCTTTGCACTATAGTTCTTCTAGAAATATTTCGGATAATCTCTTTTTGACAGTGGCGTTTGTGGCTGTTGTTCATATATTTCATTCGAGCTAGGATCTTGATCACTGAGTATACAAACCTGAGTATACAATCGGGCCCTCCGGACCAGACATGTCGACGTCTTAAACTAAAAGAAGTAAGAATTAGTGACTGTATTAAAACATTAGTTGGGTGAATAATGTCTACACAATTTCCTTAATTTTTAACAATCTTTTAACCAACAAAAAAAAACTAACAAGTTTAAAGTTGAACCTACTTCACAAAATCATCAAAAATTGTTAAATTCTACTTGTAGAATTCTATTTCTATCTAGGAATCTATTTGTAGAAATCATAGCCTTGACAATATAACAAAAAATCTGTTCATTGGCACAACATTTTCTTCTTAAACCGTATTAATTCGTTGTTACCATAACCTATTAAAATTATTTTTATAATAAACTAAGTGTAGGTTGCTAATAAACTAGTGCTTCTACTTTTTATTCTCTTATGGTCATTATATCTCATAAGTCGGCAAATATATTAGTATATTTATATTATTTTATTTCTAGGCAAAGATGGCAAAGAACACTTGGATAGAAGATGTTCTACCGCTCCCAAGAACGGAGAAGCGCAGTGCCCCTCATCTATAAATAAAAGTGAAGTAACTGACCTAAAATGCCCATCCTGCAAAACTGATCTTTGCAACTCAGCTACCAACATCAATTTAAGTTTAACAGCACTAGCTGCAGTAGTCTTTGCCACCGTAGGCCAAAAATTCTTAATGTAAAATATATTTTTAAACATTTTTTTTTAATTAAGTACGTGTGTTGAGCTACTATTAATTAAAATATGTGTTTACGAACTAAAAATTGTAATATTTAGGATAAATGTGTATTGTATATTAAAATGTTGTTTTGCTACTATATTTCCCCGAAATTATTATATTGATATAAAGTTGCAGCTTTTAAAAAAACCATATACGAATAATAAGTTTAGAGCTTTATATGTAAAACCTTTATGTGAATTAAAATTTTATAAGATGGAAAATAAGTATGTAGAAGGAATTTGTATTACCCGCAGGTAATTTTGTAACGGTAATCGCACGGTTATTTTTCTTTGTAAATAAAGTTTATAATATTAAAGCTAATGAATTTAATAAATATAATGATTAATTAATATTATCATTATTTCATTTTACCTAAAAACTCTCACTTATTGTATAATTCTGTTATAATATGCTACTGGAATTCATGATCACCACATTTGATCTATGAATTGTTTCAAAAATGGAAATATATATATATATATATAATATATATATATATATATATATATATATATATGAAACTTAGAGCTAAGATTAATATTATTACAAAAATTCACCAGTCTTTCGGGTTGCACCGCGTCGATATCCATTTTGCCGAGCTTTCGGCATCCTCTCTGATGCTTTCCTCAGGGCTTCCGAGGTCTCAGTCTCCCGAGTCCCCAGACACTACTACACTGTTCACTGATCACTACGCTATGTTATGTACTATGTAGTAATTGATCCAATCATTATTCCAATAAAAAGAGTCTACTAGTATGACATCTAAACTTAAATTATTTCAGTTAAAATCTACAAATAAATACAATGACGTCTATGAAGCCAATTTTGTGTTCATCAGATATTTGGGTAAGCTTTCCGTGAAATGTTAACACCAAAGAGGCGTGCCGAGTTTCTTTGATATTACACTATTTTATGGCTTTATTAGGTACTACAACTGTAATAAAAAGAAATATACTATTTTTCATATAAATGAAAAGAAATTGGCAGAACGATGATTCAGAAACCAGAAAAAGGATCTAATATTTCACTTTGTTAGTTTTAAATATTTGTTTGCTTTGAGTTTATGTACTCTTAAAAGTTCCGAAAGTAAAGGGTATAACATACCGGCTATTGATAGTTAAAGTACCGAGTCGTTACAGATATTAAAAAGTAACAAAAATTTATATACAGTTTCATATATCGCCGACTGATTATGGCTGTTAATCTGATCGTTGATAATAGTTTTAGAAGATTAAGATAATAAGTGAATAAGTAAGTTTTTTTGTTTTTTTAGCACCACCAAGCGCTATTACCGGTAGATTCTGTAGATCACAAAACATTATTGTTTTGTGCTTAAATAGCGATGTCTTCATAACTGGCGTCTGTCGAATGTTATTGTCATAATTCTCGAATGTCGAATATTAATTGATGTTGATGATTAAGTATTAATTCAATATTTGTTTTTTGTGTTTTAGTTAAAAGTGCTGTTAGATCAAGGAATATCGTATTTAGGATTAGAATATTAAAATATCGTGTTTAGGATTAGAACATTAATTGTTTAGTTAAGGCGTGTTGTAAGGATATTTGTTTTTTTTTAAGTTAAGTTAGAAGTTAGTACAGGCTTCTATGATTCCTACTCTCATAGCATATTAATTTAATATTATGTATTAATTACTACATGTTTTGAGTTTGATTAAATGAAAATTATTGGTCTAATTTAATGTCTCTGAAAACTTTCAGAACTAATTTGTCACATTTATTCGAATATATAAACAGGATTAGAGTTCTCTCAATATTACCAACTTTACAATATTACCAACTACACAAGGCGTTTGTCAATTAGCAAGCTCTCCAACATGATAAAAATATTGATTAAGATTAGTACCAGAACACTCCAACGTGGCGCTGATGATCACAACATTTTTTTGTACAGAAGGTGGTTATTTATCCCTCCTCTAATCTATGATTACAACTGTTCTATAAACTATTAACTTTATATTTATATTATGACTTCATATTTAAATCTAAGGTTTATATCTGTCGTAACAGTATTTTAAAAATGGGGAGAATTTACTATTGTACAATTCAGTACATTGGACCATTTAAATCGACACCTTAAAGCGAATTTAAAACAGTCGTATATTCGTGGAATAGAGTATATATATATATATATATATATATATATATATATATAATATATATATATATATATATATATATATGTTCGGATAGATTTTCGTCAGATGAATGAAATGAAAATCACTAGGTTCTCGGAAAGAACCGCGTTGAGAATTTAATGATCGACGTTTCGGCTCCCATTTTGAAACTATTATCAAGAGTGATACGGTTCGGTTCGAGTTCGGGGTCTCAATCTGCCTACTCCCCTCACTCGAGAAGTACCAGTATCGTGTTCTGTATAATAAATACAAGAACTGTCTCTCGGCACTGAGGTCTCAATCTGCTTACTCCTCAGTGTCGAGTGACTACAGGTCTTACTTTTATACTCGCTGTATGCGCGAGAATGGTATGCGCTGACGTGGTCTGAGCTGACGTGGCCTGAGTGGTGTGGGCGGAAGGTCGCTGAAGCAGGGGTAAATACGGTTATGGATTTGTCGATTCGTGATAAATTCATAACCGTATTTACGAACATTCTATATCAGTCAAGCATTCCAATACTACTTCAGCCCTAGTCCAACATCATATTCACACAGGCCACAAAATAGATTCCAAAAAAGCAAAAATGATCGCCCCCATCCGCTCCTTAAAATCAAGAATCATTCGTGAAGCTATAGAAATCGAAAAACGGCCTAACAGCTTAAATACGCGCGATGGCGCGAAACGATTGCCGGCAACATGGCGACCCCTGCTTCAGCGACCTCCCGCCCACATCGCTCAGGCCTTGTCAGCTCAGACCACGTACAATAAAATCTTAGTTATATACACGTACAATACCACGTACAATAAATTTTTAGTTTTTTATTATGTGGCATTACACAATAAAACTCTTAATTTTCACCCTTTAATCACTAACTGATATATTTTAATAGCCATATTAGTAATTTAAGCACTTTAACCTTGGTCGGTTAATTATCACTAGATTAGTTATATCCTCCAGGCATATACCAGTGTCACTTTAGACCCAGTAAACAGCACGGATTAGGGATAAGAACGAAGCCGGTCTCCTGTTTCTCTCACACAATAAGCCTTCTCTTATTTCGAAAACTCTAAATAGTGCCATTATTATTTTTTATGCATCGAGTATAGTGTCGTTTACAAATTATCATTTTAGTTTCGCACTGTAATTCCTAAGTCATTAATTTGCCGTGCCGAGCTTATTTAGCGTGTTTCCCGGACATAACTCACCCGTTTTTCTTCTTCTTATTGCCGGCGTCTCCTTTCGAAGGTTGGCGATACAAATGGCAATTGTAACTTTTATAAACTGCTGCACGAAATATTTCTGTGGATGAGCGGTCACTCCATCTCCTCAGTTCTTTCAGCCACGAGATCTGGTGTCTTCCAACTAATCTTTTGATCTACACTTTACCTTTCAAGATGATCTGGAGTAACTCATATCTTTCACCTCTCAGTACATTACATAAGTATTGTATTTTCACTCTTTGATTATGTTTAGTAATTCTTTCAGCCATTTCAAAGAAGATCAAGAATCAAGGTTCCGAACTAATGCCAGAGATAAAGCTAGATGAGATTCGACAAGCATCAAGAAGAATGAAAAATAACAAAGCCCCAGGAGAGGATGGAATCGTAATAGAAGCTATCGTAAATGGAGGAGATATGCTATTAAATAAATTAAGGAAACTATTCAATCTATGTTTGCAGCAAAGAGAGGTGCCAAAAGAGTGGAACAATGCTACAACCATCCTTTTGCATAAAAAAGGAGATAGAACGGACCTAGAAAATTATAGACCTATTAGCCTGTTGAATCACATATACAAGCTCTTCACTAGGGTAGTGACATCAAGATTGGAGAAAAAATTAGATTTCTACCAACCGAGAGAGCAGGCAGGATTCCGCTCAAATTATGGTACCAATGATCACCTCCACACAGTAAAGACACTCATTGAAAAATCTATAGAATATAACAAACCTCTTGTTCTCACTTTCATAGATTTTCATAAAGCGTTCGACACGATCGAATTAGACAGCCTTATAGAAGCAATGAATGACAGCAGGATTGACCATAGGTATAGTGAGCTTATTTATAATATTTACAAAAATGCCACTATGACTGTTAAAATAGACAATAAAACCCGACCAATAAAAATAAATTGTGGAATAAGGCAAGGAGATACATTGTCGCCGAAATTATTCATAACGGCATTAGAATATGCCTTTAAGATGATCCATTGGAACCACAGAGGAGTAACGATAGACGGCGAAAAGCTTAACCATCTCCGTTTCGCAGATGACATTGTCCTTATCACAGATAATTTAGGAGAAGCTACAGATATGTTAAACGAATTGGATTTTGCATGTTCGAAGGTGGGCCTGAGAATGAACTTGACCAAAACTAAGTTTATGACAAATTTGGTCCCCAATAACCATTTGACTATTCAAGACAAAGTGGTAGAACTGGTGGAGAAATAAACGTATTTGGGTCATGAAATAAGAATCAGCAGGGATAACCAAACATGTGAGATCCAAAGACGAATTACTTTAACATGGGCAGCCTTTGGAAAACTGCGAGACACACTTAGGGCCAACATACCAATCAGCCTCAAAAGAAAAGTGTTTGACCAATGCGTATTACCAGTCATGACGTATGGGCGGACTATGACTTTAACCAAGACCACGGCTTCGAAACTGAGAGTGGCACAGAGACGAATGGAACGGTCTATGCTGGGAGTGACGTTGAGGGACCGAATAAGAAACGAAGATCTGCGAAGAAGGACGAGTATTACTGATGTTGTGGAACGCATAGCGGAACTAAAATGGAACTGGGCAGGCCATGTAGCGAGAATGCACGATTCACGATGGACGAGCAAAATTACAAATTGGAGGCCAAGAGCAGACAAACGCAGTAGAGGAAGACCACCTACACGTTGGGCCGACGACATCAGGCGTATCACTAAAAATTGGCAACAAAGAGCACAAAATCGTGAGGAATGGAGGAGTTTAAGGGAGGCCTATGTCAAGCAGTGGACGTGATAAATAGAGGCTGGATGATGATGATGATGAATTCTTTTAATTCACCAGTTAAAAAAACATAATTGCACGAGCAATATTGACGACAAAAAAATGCAGATGTCGATGATTTGAGTGCGACTATACTAAATTTTCTTTCAGAAAATTTGTTGTGGTCTAAATTAGCTTACAAATCAGCTTACAGTTTATAATGAAAAGTAAGATCAGTTCTGCTGCGTAACATTAATCAAGCGCAACTGTGCAATAGGCATCGATCATCAAGGAAAATAAAAAGGTGAAGATGTCTTGATCCCGAGTATACCGATGATTTCAATTAACGTAACATTTAATTTTAAACATTTTCAGTTTCCCGTGCGTTTAACTGTTCTAATGACAATAAGCAAATCACACCGCCAATTGTTGAAAGTTTGCGTAATTAACTTAGTTTCCATGTTTCGCACATAGACAATTATTCGTTATATATTCATGCAACGCAAAAAAAAAATAAAAATGTTGTTTATTAAAAAGCATTACATGCTGTATATAGTGTATTGGATTATTTTAATATGTTTGTGTATTTTTTTTTGTAATGAAGTAATGACTCTGTTAAGTACAGTGAAGTATTCAGTATTCTGGTGTGGTTTTTTGTTTTTCGTAAAGTAGTTTTTTTTAATCTTAAATATCCATACAATTTTTATATTATCTAAAAAAACTTACAAATTGTTTGTTAAGGTTGCGACATATTATCATGCACGGATAGTTTCCGGGACGTAGCGTTTCCAGTCCAGCAATCGGACTGCGCGTTCACATTTTCCTACATACAACATTTCAGTTTGGTGCGCTGAAGATGTGTTCTCGCTTTTCGCGACAAAAATTCATTATTAGCATTCACAGTTAGGGACAACTTTAAAACATTTTTTCAATCTGCTGCTGAAAAACTTGACTGGCAACAATAATTCCTATGTGTTTCGTGTAATTAATACATTTTAGAAGGATTAAATATTTATTTATTTATTATCCCGGTTTTTTATAGCGTTCTCCCCCTTCCGGTTCCCAGTTTCCAGCTACGTCGGTCATTCCACTCGCCAGGGTGAAGGTTTCTTTCCGACATTGCCTTCTAAATGCCGCCCAGTCAGGATTGTTTTGGCCTTACTCTCTTCCTTCTTTCCCTTGGCGTCCATTTTAAAATTTGGTTTGGCAGCCTGTCGTCGTCCATTCTTTCTACATGACCATATCAGATCAGTTGTCTCCTTTAAATTTCGTCAATCGTTGACTTGACTCCCATTATATTTCTGATATGGTCATTTTGTATTCTATCAAGCCTTGATTTTCTAGCTGATCTTCTCCAAAAGTCCATTTTCAATGCAAGTAGGCGTCGTTCAAG